GAGCGCAGCCTTCATTAAACGTTTCATTTTTGATTCAGTGTAATTTGGTTTGATTTGTAATTTGTGCCAGTGGAGAGGCTCTTCTTAAGATTTTTCCCTCACAACTCTTTTCATATCTATTCAATATAGTAGTTAAATCTCAGCTAAACCAATAAGTAACTGGCAGGGATCAAAAGGGTACAAATTGTAAAGCAAGACATCAAAGTATCTTTATTTACAAACAATATGATTTTACACATGAAAGACCCTAAGGACTTCACAATGAAACTTCTATCATTGATAAACATTTTCAGGAGGATAAAAAATTAATACAAAAAAGTCAGTAGCCTTTCTATATACAAATGGCAAAGATGTGGAGAAAGAAATAAAAAAACAGTGCCTTTGATAATAGCCTGAAAAAAAATCTTGAGATAACTCTCACCAAGAAAATAAAAGACTTGTTTGATAAAAACGTTAAGACATTCTCTTTCCTTCTACTTCTCATTTGGACCTAGGGAGTTAAGTCCAGTGTTCCAATGTGGGTCTCTGTCTCTATCTCCATCCATTGCCAGATGAAGGTTCTATGGTGATAAGCAAAATATTCATCAGTATGGTTATTGGCCAAGGCGGTTCAGGCACCCTCTCCTCTGTCCAGAGAACAATCCGGGGATCTCTCCTTGGACCTGGGATCCCATTTATAATCAAGTCTCTTGTAAACCCTAAAATGACTCCCTTAGTTGAGATATATTCTTCCCTGATCCCATATCCATCCTTCCTCCCTCCCCCCCATCCCAGTCCCCTGAGCTTTCCCCATTCCTCCCCTACTCCCTTCTCTCTAACCCTCTCCCCTTCCAACAACTCTCCCACCCCCCCATGCACCCGAGCTTACCTGGGACTCTTGTCTATTTCCAATCTCCAGTAGGATAACTACATGATTTTCTTCAGGTTCACCTTCTTACTTAGCTTCTCCAGGATCACGAATAATAGGCTCAAAGACCTTTAATTATGGTTAGAATCCACTTATGAGTGAATACATACCATATTCCTCTTTTTGGGTCTGGCTTACTTTACTCAGTAAAGCGTTTTCTATGTCCATCCATTTGCATGCAAAATTCAAGATGTCATATTTTTTTACCGCTGAGTAAAACTCTAATGTATATATGTTCCACACCTTCTTTAACCATTCTTCTATTGAGGGGCACCTAGGTTGTTTCCAGGTTCTGGCTATTACAAATAGTGCTGCTATGAACATAGTGAACAAATGCTTTTGTGGTATGATAGGGCATCTCTTGGGTGTATTCCCAAGAGTGGAATTGCTGGGTCTTGAGGGAGGTTGACTCCCAGTTTCCTGAGAAACCGCCACACTGACTTCCACAGTGGCTGCATAAGTTTGCATTCCCACCAACAATGGATGAGAGTTCCCCTCTCTCCACATCCTCTCCAGCATAGGCTATCATTGGTGTTTTTGACTTTAGCTAATCTGACTGGTGTAAAATGGTATCTCATAGGAAAGAGAACGTGAGCAAAGAAGGCAAGACCAGAGAGAACCTTCATCCGACGATGGATGGCGATACAGACGGAGACCCACATTGGAGCACCGGACTGAGCCACCCAAGGTCCAAATGAGGAGCAAAAGGAGGAAGAACATGAAAAAGGAAATCAGGACCACGAGGGGTGCGATCACCCACTGATACAAGGGGACTGATCTAATGAGAGTTTATCAAGACCAGTTGGACTGGGACTGAACGAGAACGCGATCCAACCAGATTCTCTGAATGTGGCTGGATTCTCTGAATGTGGCTGGCCCGGAGTCTTTCTGAAAAGCCATTGACAATGACGCTGGGACTTGTTTCCTCTGCATATACTGGATTTTTTGGGATCCAGTCTGTTTGGATACTCATCTTCCTGGACCTGGAGGGAGGGGGGATGAACTTGGACTACCCACAGAGCAGTAAGCCCTGCCGTCTTTGAGGTTGGGTGCGTGTGTCGGGGGGGGTGGGCGGGCGGGGCCGGGTGCGGGGGGGGGCGGAAATGGAAACTTTTATAATTTAATAAACTTTGAAAAAAAAACGTTAAGACATTGAAGAAAGGAATTGAAAACACTCCAAAAGATAGAAAGAACCACCATACTCATGGATCAATATGATTCATATTGTGAAAAAGGCCATTCTACAAAAACAGTCTACAGGTTCAATGCAATTTCCATCAAGATTCCAACATTGAATAATTAATCTTCAAATTCATATGGAAACACAAAATACAAGACAGCTAAATCAATCCTGAATAATAAAAAAAATTGAAGATATCACCAACCCAGATTTCAAGTTGGATTACAGAGCTCTAATAATAAAATCATCATACTATTTGTAATTGACACTCACTGGCAGAGGGAAATCAGTCTCCTCTAACAGAGTGTCCCTGTGTGGTCAATCACACTCCAGAGCAGGTCCTTGCCCAGGAGTAGTTGGCCAACATAAACAAACATAATGGATTTTTTGTTTCGCTATGACATATTTTGTCTTATTAAGTTTTTTTTTTCGCGGTTTACTTTTTATTTTGTTATCTGTTTTTTTAAAGAGAGATAAACTTAAAAAGTGATTAATTATCAGTACCAGAATACTATAAGACATACATAGGTTATTTAGGAATAAGTTTAAAATATTAAGACATGTGTGGGTAACAGAATAACATTTTATAAAATAACATCAAAGAAATCCTTTAAGAACATGGGGAACACACAATAATCCTAGGTAGGAAAATAATATGGTAAAATTGCTAACCAACAAAATTTCTAATAAACTTTTATAAGAATTCTCTTCCAAGGAGTCAAATAAATTAACTCTAAAATTCCTTCTTAATGATAAAATTAGGCCTAATTCTCTTGTAAGAACTAAGATAGAGTATTTTTATGATTTATTAAAGTGTATTTCAAAGTTTTAGTAATTAGGACATTGTAGAATGCTAATTTCAATAATATAGATGAACCAGGATACAAAGACCCACACAAAAGTTGCTTGAGTTATAAGAAGACAGCTTTATAAATTAGTAAAGGGTCTATTAAATAAATATTCCTGGCACCATTGTTGATTTGTATGATAAAATATTATAGTCTTAAGTAAATACAGACACTAAATCTCTGACTCCAATCATACACAACCATTAAAATCAAATAAGTTAAAGGCTAAAAGCTATAGAAGAAAAATTAAAAAACATTTTAGAAAAAAACCAAAAAACTCTAGGACTATTTCTATGACTTAAGACATGACTAACTACCCAGCTGACTCTCTGGAATGTCAAGCCAGTGTAAAATGTCAGCTAGCACAAAACCACTCACCAAGTTCCTATAAATTCCTAAACATCGAAAATTAAATGACAAACTTTTAGTGATGACATTAACTTTTATAAATAAAGTGAATGAGAAGCACAAAACTCAGATTAGTGGCACCTCTGTACATTCAGTTGTAAAAAAACTGATAAGAAAGGCTTCATCAACTCAACAACTCAACATAGCAGAGTCGGTCATCTCTTGTGTCTTCACCTCACACTGTTTATCATTGTGCAAAATAAGTTATTTGTGTTATTATATATATTATTTTTACATTGTCAATGCAATATGACATTTAAAAGTCAAATCTCAATTTTAACAATATTTCAGTTCACTATACAAAGACTGATTTAGTTCTAACTGTACACCACTGAAGATCTAAGTAGAGGTTCCTGGCCAGTGGGAGCTGTGGCAGATACAGTTACTGAAGTTATTCAGACATACTTTACAGTAAACCCAAGTCTTAATTGACGGAACTGTATTCTGCACCTAAAAGATGATAATTGGATGAGTTATTGGGTAAATTTTCTAAACTGTTCTTAGCCAAAATTGTTAATAGTAGAGGGCCCATATTGATACTGCTACAACTTGCCAACTCAAAATTAGAGTCATTTAATTGGAAGCAAGTTCATAGCCACCCTGCCCAAATCACTTGTCTCTATTTTTCTCACGAAACAGAGATAGAAGGAAGGATACGGTTGCGTGTGTGTGTGTGTGTGTGTGTGTGTGTGTGTGTGTGTATTTGTAAACATTTTCATGAGACAAAGTTTGGTGTAGCAAACACAGTATTGAAGGTACTCTAGCAGGCAGTAAGTTGTAGACATGATCTTTGAGACGTATATTCTTGTAGTCTCCATAGACTCTGGGTTGAAAGTAGAAGTCACTTCACTTTTACCAAATATTCATCAAGCCCCTTATTCCTGAACCTGAAAATTCCACTGCAAATATTAAGGGCGTCACCCATAAGGAGCACCTAAAATTAAAAATATAGTCATGATAAATTTATTAGTGCCAGTTGCCCAAAAAAGGAAGGATAGTTTTCAGAGTCTGGAAAGGAAAGACGAGAGAAGTCAGAAAGACTATGCATGAATGGTGTACACCGTGACATGTGACACTTGTGACTGAGGTCACAGGGCAAATCGGCTCTGCAGAGAACCTTATATCACACATGCCTCCCACCTGCAGAGACCTAGTGCTTGGCAACCCACCGTCCTTATTCATGTTTTTAATCAAGTCAAAAAGAGCATCGATGACTACAGTCCAGATGCGTGGTTTATATCAAGTGAGTCACGGGAACACTATGATGCCAAACACTGAAGGTAGGTCCTGTCTGTCTCGTGTCTGTCCCTTCTTAGAGATGTGTCATATGGCTGTACTTTGTGGGGAGGGTCAATCACATTACTGAGAGGAAGGCAGAGGTGTCTAGCAGGGACCCCTTGAGCAGTAAAATACTGTGAATTACTCTAAACATGCACCAAGGTTCTACTAGCTGTCATTCTTGGGTCAAGGAATAAAAACTAGAGGTCTTGAAGGATAAGGGAGAAGCTTAAGTTGCCTCAGAAATCACTACTGACGCACATTAATTTTTCTTGCCTGCAAGTGACAGAAAAATATTTAAGAAACAAAGCATCCCTTGGTTGGTCATGTGACTTCGCCTATTCTCCTGGCAGATCTCTCTTGTCCGGCAGTGTGGAGGAGGTTTGCGCTGCCCGTGCAAGAAGAAAACAGGTGGATGGATAAATAAGCATGGCCTTGCTCCTGGTCTCCTTGCTGGCACTCCTGGGCTCAGGAACTGGATGTCATCACTGGCTCTGTCATTGCTCTAACAGGGTCTTCCTCTGCCAAGACAGCAAGGTGACGGAGATTCCATCTGACCTCCCCCGGAACGCCATTGAACTGTGAGTATTGCCGCGGGGACAGCTGTGTGGCTGCCATTTGTTCATCGAGTACTATTATTATTTTCCTATTACACTGATATCTTCCGGGCTGAAATATTTCTGACCCCACCAAAAGCCACAATAAAACACACTCCCCCAGCCAGACGCTTCTGTCCTTTGCTTCTCCAAGACGCTTTGGTGAGAGTTTATATTGGCGTTTGTCAGGGAAGGCCAGTGTGGAATGCTGAATCTGAGGGAAAGAGGGAAAGTTCGGGGGACACATTTACTCCTAATCTCTGCACTCCCTAGAGAAGAAGGAAAAGTAAAAAGGAATAGAAAGTAGAAAACTTAGGAGACCTTCACCTGGAGATAGGAAGAACTTGTTGAAGCCAGCTGTACACAGGCCGTTCCTTTCAAGGCAAAGGCACCCAGGAGTGACTTTGAAGACAGCAGCAGATAGTCCCGGAGTTCTGGGGTTCCACGGTCGTTCATAATAGAGAAAGGGGGAGTTTGAGGAGTGTGGAAACAGCTTGAAGAAAAGAGGAAGAACAGCTGAAAGGGAGAAAGAAAGCAGGTTAATAAACTCAGCAGGAAAAAAATGCAAACTCTAGATTTTTGCTGAAATTTATTTAAATTTTATTTAAATGTTAATTAAAACTAAATTTCATTAATTTTTTTAAATATTAAAAAAAGTATTTAAATTGGATGTAGATATTCTCCTAGAGTTGGGCAAGAACTGGGACGTATTTCACCCTGTCTGTCCCCTTTGCAATTTGGAATCCAATGACCACACAGTAAAGAAATATCCAAACTCTCAGTGCATATCAAAAAGGAGCCAAGGCATATAAACTAGAGGATCAAGCCCACCCACACAGTATGTTCTTTCCTGGTGCTCCAGACCTGGGCTGTGGGGTTGTCCAGGTACTGAGAACCGCAAGCGTGACTCAGATGGCAAACAGCCCCAGGTTTTCCACTCCAAGCTAGGACTGTGAATCTCAGATTATCTTCTTAGGATAATGGTTGGAATGTATCACTCTCCGGTGACCTCTCGAGTCTGTGTCTCAAGCAACTGTGCAGTAGCAGCGGCTCAAACAGAAAACATTTCCCAGGTCTGTGTTTTGGCTACACTACCCAGATGAGGCAGCTTTTCTTGATTACTTTGAAGGATGTGCTGTGCACAGACAGTCTTGTGTATGAGGTCAGTCGAAAGCAGGGAAGTCAATGCACCCTTAGACCCACGAGTTATCTGTACCCCAGACTTTAGGTGCTTACCCCATCCCTGAGCCTCTGTTTCCTACTTCTAAAGTGATTTTAACGCTTGCTTTGGTGACTGGGACATGTGATTCTTTCCTCTCCACACCAATTCACCTTTCTCTGGGTCTCCTCTATTTCTTGCTTTGTCCCTATGGGCCAAGCAATGGCATCCGAGTTTTGAAGCAAATATCCTCTACAGATTTAACTGTTGAGTAGTGTGCCACTACCCTACGAACTCCCTCCCATGCCTGATGGTCTTCTCTCTGCAATTTCTTCCTAAGAAGAGGGATTTTTTTCCCATCCTACATAGAAAAAGTTGGATAACAAGAAAAATACAAGGGAGGGAAGAAGGAGAGGGATAAAGGAAAGGAGAGACTGGGAGAAATGTGTGTGTACAATGCACAAGGACCAGCAAGATGACTTTTTTCCTTATACTAATGCACCAATGACTAAAGTACATCCATGTTCAAGAACATTTCATTGCTGAGGAGAAAGCATGAGGGGTTTATCTTCCAGAAAAGTGGGAGAACATTAGACAGAATAGCAGAAATAAGTTTCATACTTGATTCTGGACAATCCTAATTAGATATATACAATAGAGGAAATGCATAAAACTGAAAGTGGGAAAAGAAATGCTTGCTGACTGTTGGCATTCCCTGCCCCTGTCCCAAAGGAATGAGCCTGGTCCTTTGAAAGCTCTGGGGATCTATTCTCTCTGGAGGCTTTAAGTCAGAGTCTACTAAGTAGGATAGCAAATCTTCTTTTTACAAAGTGTACTGATAGAAAGAAGATAAAACACAAAAATTATTTAAGGAGTGTGTGTGTGTGTGTGCATGCTTGCATATGTACAGAAGAGAAGATGAAACAACAAGAACTGACATTCTGATTGAACAAACAATTGTTTTATTCTTCCTTATAAGGATAGATTTAGGGTAAACTGGAGTTCTGGTAAAAGAGGTGAAGTTGTGGGCTCTGTTTGGTATTTTTCATTCATCTTGTAGTGTTCTGAGTTGGTTAATGATGTCAGTGATGGTCATATCGGCTAAGGGTGGGTCAACCAGCTGAACTTCACTGACTACAATGGCTTGACCCATCAACATGGAAAAGCTGCATTGCTCACCTAGAGGAAAACACCTGTGTTCCTCCATGTGTTTTTTGATCCTGCCTTTCAACCTCGTTTGCATTGGTTTCAATTCATTTGGCATATGAGCCACCACCACCAAAGATTACTGCTCACATATGACATGCACATGCTTGTATAAACAGACGCGGACAGAAGTGCCACTGACAGACATGTGGATTGCATTTTCCAATCGGTTCCTGCTGCTTGCTTTATGCTTTGCATGTAGTGCTTCACTGAAAACTAGCAATGGAAATCCAAGGGAGGCCCCGTTCGTTGTTTTCAGAAGCACAGAGAAATTGGACAGCTTCAGCAAAAACCCCAGTCCTGCTCCTCTGTGACAGAGCTAAGAACCAAGTTTAAGTCTGCTTTTGCATGCCCTCTGCACACTGTGGGGAATGCATGTCTTCTGACTCCTTCCTGTTTTTCTGGGGGAAAAAAATACCAACATGCTGTTCTTAGAGTCTGGACTAGAAGCCAGCTCCATGGGTCATTCAGCCTCTTTGGCAGCTATTTAACTTGAGTGTGGTAGCATAAAAGCAGACACAGACAGCAGGTAAATGAATGAAATTGTCCTCACAAAACATTTTTGTGCACACACTGAAATTGAAATTTTATGTCATTTTTGCAGTAAAAAATCTTTTGTGGCTTTTCCAAATCCTTAAAAAAAAGGGGGTGGTGGTGAAAAAGATTTCTAGTTCATGGTGTTTAGAAAAGCAATCACAACAGTGTTACTTTGGTTATACGATGACCAATTTGGCCCAATCTAGGTTGTTTGCCACCCACTCTTGCTTCAACTGAGAGTTTCTTCTGCGTTGAGAGAATAAATTGAATGTAAGTGGTCTAGGAACTTGAAGCATGTCACCACAGAGAAAGCATTAAACTGGGCAGGGAGGGTCATGAGTCAGGCCACACAGAGTGGGAATTACAGGGTCATTTTTTAACTGATTCTGGCAAGTCAACAATGATAGAATATTAGTGTCTCCACTCTGAGAGACCTGAGTTTAGACCTGAACGATACCAATAACTTCTTACTCTATCATCTTGTGCCACGGCTGTATGATAGAAATTACAGTGTATGCCTGATTCACAGAATTGCTCTGCGGACTATATGAGACAATCCCAGTAACAAAGGGTATCATGTCTCCGGTGCTGTTCTTGTGAATATTGGTGATATTAGCAAGTGTAAAATATTAGACAAAATTCAGTTTCAAGCACAGGACTCTTGTGAAGATCAAGCCAGTAGAGAAGGATGGGAATGATTTGGAAAACTGATAGATTTTCATAGCTAGTTTGTAACCTCCTTTTTGCTTAGCAGTGGTCTCATTCCAGTGGGTACAGCACTTAAACTTCATACACTGAGTAGAAAAAAAAAATCAACATTTCTACAGGCTATTGGTATTTACCAAGCACTTGGAAGCAGGTTCATTCTGATCATCCTGAAAACAATCATGATTTCTGACTTATCCCAGAATCTGTGTCAGTTGGACGCAGTCCTGAAATCCAGAAAAGTCTCAGATCATCCTGCATTCTTCCTGGAGTTGAAATTCCTGGGGAAAAGGTAAACGCTTAGTCTAGGCTCAAAAGTTTTAAATCTAGGAGACACTCTGAATAGAATCATTTCTTTTTCTTTGACACAGCCAGAGGACTGTGGTAGCTAAAGGGAGTCCACTGACATCATACCTGGTTGAGGGAATGTCAGACTGGGCTCCTGTTGGACACTACCTGTATTGAATTCTCTCCTCACAATGTCCCATAACTGCTTGCAATCTCATTTGACTAGCACATACTTCTAATTCTCTAATTATCCTTTTTAACTATTATTCTTTTTCTTGACCTTGGATTCCTTGTATGCCTGCTTGGCTTAGCTTGTTCTCCACATCTATAGCCCTAGGTTATTTTTTTTTAATTAGGAGCAGGTTTTTCTGGCTTTGTCTTTGCTTGGCAAACCTTAGCTCTCAGGGATATTTCAGTGTTCCATTAGAGGGATGTCTTTGCCATGCCAATGAGTTTTGATATCCAAATAAAAGAGTTCTTGATGTTTTCAAACACAATTATGGAACTTTTTCCCCCCTAGGAGTATGCTTGGGGATTAAGATCCTATAAAAGACAGATACTTTGGGAAAAGGTAGTCTATTCAACTGCCAGGGCCAGAAAGAATTCCTTCTTAAGCGTGAACCTTAAGAAGGACTCCTGGCTCCTGATTCAGTACTAAACGAGATGAGCCCCTGAGTGGATTTTCATTGTGTTATATCAGAGAAACGGCGATTGGAAGATGTCTGTTCTTATAAAAGGTAGTTCTAATATACACACTGTTACCATGTGAGAACCAGCCATTACCTCTTACAAGTTACTAGTTTCAAGCTAGTCTTAGCATTTTATATTCTACTGCTACTAGCATTGCCGTCATCTTTTATCCTTTGATTAAGAAATAGCTCTCCAAAGTCTGGCTTTTTTGTTTCTTCATTTACCCCTTTCTAATAAAATCTTCTTTACCCAAACCAGCCCCAATTGTCATTTCCTCTGCAAAATGCCACCATCACTATATTATGGAGCCCTAGTTCAAAAATAACTCAATAGCTCAATAGCTTCCTTTGCTGAGATATCTCCTCATCCTCTGGTGGAGGAATGCATTCAACAGGGTTTC